ATGTGACGAATGAAAACATAGCTCCGAGTGAGGTTACCGATAATGTTGGAGACGAAAGAGGGGATGCCATCCGGGGCATCCCCAAGCTTAGTTGCTTGGATATTCCTTGAATATTACCTTGGGGGTGCCTTAGGAATCCCCAAGCTTAGGGTATTATCACTCCTTATTCTCCTCATATCGACATCTCACCCAAAACTTGAAAACGTCAATCACACAAAACTTAACGGAACCTTGTGAAATAGGTTAGTATGATAAAGAGCAAACCATTTCACTTTTGGTACTGTCAAATACAAGACTCATAATTGTTTCCACACAATGCCTACTATAACATATCATTTCCACATTTTATATTGAGCAATATAAGCCATGGAAATAAGGAAAGAAGCAAACTATGCATTGAAAACAGAATCTGTCAAAAACAGAACGGTATGTAGTAATCTGTACTCAAACCAAACTTCTGCTACTCCAAAAATTATGAAAAAAATTGGGACACGTGAGAAATTTGTATATTAATCTTCTGCAAAAAGAATCAACTCAAAAGCGCTCTTCTGTTAAAAACGAGAGCTATCTCCGTGAGTGCAAAAGTTTTTGTTTTTCAGCAAGATCAAATCAACTATCACCCAACATGATCCCAAAGGCTTTACTTGACACTTTATTGAAACAAAAGCAATAAAACATGATTACCACAATAGACTAATCATGTGAACACACAAAAACATTAGGGGTAAATATTGGGTTGTCTCCCAACAAGCGCTTTTCTTTAATGCCTTTTAGCTAGGCATGATGATTTCAATGATGCTCGCATAAAAGATAAGAATGAAACATGAAAAAGAGCATCATGAATCACATGACAAGCACATTTAAGTCTAATCCACTTCATATGCGTAGGGATTTTGTGAGCAAACAAGTTATGGGAACAAGAATCAACTAGCATAGGAAGGCAAAACATGCATAACTTCGAAAACTTCAACACATAGAGAGGAACTTGATATTATTGAGATATGTAGATGCATATGATCCACTCTCATAATAATTTTCAGTAGCATCATGAATGAATTCAACAATATAACTATCACATAAAGCGTTCTTTTCATGATCCACAAGCATAGAAATTTTATTACTCTCCACATAAGCAAATTTATTCTCATGAATAGTAGTGGGAGCAAGCTCAACAAAATAAGTATCATGAGAGTGAAAATTAAAATTATGATGACAAGTTTCATGGTTATCATTATTCTTTATAGCATACATGTCATCACCATAATCATCATAGATAGCAACCTTGTTCTCATAGTCAATTGAAGCCTCATCCAAAATGGTGGATTCATCATTAAATAAAGTCATGACCTCTCCGAATCCACTTTCATCATTATAATCATCATAAATAGGAGGCATGCAACCATTATAACAAATTTGCACATCAAATCTTGGGGGACTAAAAACATCGTCTTCATCAAACATAGCATCCCCAAGCTTGTGGCTTTGCATATCATTAGCACCATGGATATTCAAAGAGTTCATGCCAACAACATTTCAATCATGCTCATCATTCAAAAATTTCAATGCCAAACATTTTATAGCATTCTTCTTCTAACAATTGAGCACAACTTTCTGATCCATCATTTTCAAGAAAGATATTATAAAGATGATCAATAATATGATGCAACCTTAATTCCATTTTTTATGTAGTTTTCTTTTATAAACCAAACTAGTGATAAAATACGAAACTAAAAGATTCGATTGCAAGATCTAAAGATATACCTTCATGCACTCACCTCCCCGGCAACGACACCAAAAAAGAGCTTGATGTCTACTACACAACTTTATTCTTGTAGACTCGTGTTGGGCCTCCAAGCGCAGAGTTTTGTAGGACAGTAGCAATTTTCCCTCAAGTGGATGGCCTAAGGTTTATCAATCTGTGGGAGGTGTAGGATGAAGATGATCTCTCTCAAGCAACCCTGTAACCAAATAACAAAAGTCTCTTGTGTCCCCAACACACCCAATACAATGGCAAATTGTATAGGTGCACTAGTTCGACGAAGAGATGGTGATAAAAGTGTAATATTGATGGTAGAAATATATTTTTATAATCTGAATAAATAAAAATAGCAAGGTAGCAAATAGTAAACGGGCACAAAAAACGGTGTTGCAATGCTTAAAAATGAGGCCTGGGGTCCGTACTTTCGCTAGTGCAACCTCTCAACAATGCTAACATAGTTCGATCATATGATTATCCCTCAAAGTGCAATAAAGAATCACTCCCGAGTTCCTATTAGCGGAGAACAGAAGATAGGAATTGTTTCTAGGTCGCGAAACACCTCAAAGCTATTCTTTCCGTTTGATCTATTCAAGAGTTCGTACTAAAATAACACAAAGCTATTTTTCGTTTGATCTATCCTAGAGTTCGTACTAGAATAACACCAAAGAAAATTCATATTCATAATACTCAATCCACACAAAGAACTATAAAGAGACCCCAAAGTTTCCATTGAAGAAAAACGTGCATCAACCCATATGCATAGATTACCCCAATATCACCACGGGAATCTACAAGTTGAATGCCATAACACATATCAAGTGAATCTATAAGATACCTCATTGTCACATCAAGTATTCATATTGCAAGACATATATCATGTGTTCTCATCTCTGAATATTCAATCCGACAAGACAAAACTTTGAAGGTAAAGATTCAATTCATCATAACAAGAGTATAGAGGGGAGAAACATCATATGATCCGACTATATTAACAAAGCCCATGATATAGATCAGAGAGAGAGAGAGAGATCAAACACATAGCTACTGGTACAAACCCTCAACCCTGAGGGTGGACTACTCCCTTCTCATCGTGGTGGCCGCTGGGATGATGAAGATGGCCACCGGTGATGATTCCCCCCTCCAGCAGGGTGCCCGAACGGGGTCTAGATTGGATCTCGTGGATACAGAGGCCTTGCGACGGCGGAACTTCTGATCTAGGGTTACCCCGAAGGGTTTCAAAATATTTGAGAATTTATAGTGCAAAGAGGGGGTGCGGGAGGCCACCAAGGTGGGCACAACCCACCTGGGCGCGCCAGGGGGCCCTGGCGCGCCCTGGTGAGTTGTGCCCCCTCGGGGCACCCCCCAGGTGCAGCTCAGGCCCATTGGGTTCCTTCTGGTCCATAAAAAATCTCCAAAAAGTTACGCGGTGTTTGGACCCCATTTGATATTGATTTCTTGCGGTGTAAAAAACAAGCAAAAATCAGCAACTGGCACTGGGCACTGGGTCAATAGGTTAGTCCCAAAAAATGATATAAAGTTGCTATAAAATGATTGTAAAACACCCAAGAATGATAATATATTAGCATGAATACTTCATAAATTATAGATACATTGGAGACGTATCAGCAGCCAACAAGTCCAAAAACCGAAAAGGAAAAAAGAAAACGCTCAAACAGCTAGTACGACAACAAGAAAAGCCTAAGATGTGGCCGATCCTATCCGAAGATCACACGGCCATCCATGGTGGTAGAAAACCTCCCTGGCTGAACGCTCCAGCCAAGTAGACGCCATCATAAAAAGGTCTCTGTCCTTCGGCCTCTGCAGGATAGACCACATACAGAGCCATCACGAACATATATGAATAACCTGCATAGGAGATGAAACACATGTATGGATAAAAACTATGCCATTCCTGGTGAGCCACAAAGTCCAACATAAGGCAGCCGCCCCCACTAGAATGTGTGCAGAAAATTGTTTATCTATTCCCCTCAACCAATTGCCAAACATGTTTCGTGCACCACGTGGGGGATAAAGATTCAAAGCTATTTGAACAATGGCCCATACAGACCGAGCAAACTTGCACTCAAAAAATAAGTGTTTAATGGACTCGTCATGATGGCAGAGAACACATTTTTTGCACCCTTGACAGTTGCATCGTGCCAAATTATCCGTAGTTAAGATCACCCCTCTATTGAGAAACCAGAGGAATATCTTCACTTTTAGAGGGATTTTGAGCTTTCACGGTCTCCTGTTATCAATCGGAACCTCGTTACGGACTAGTGCATCATACATGGACTTGACTGAAAACTTGCCATTCTGGTGCAGTTTTCATCTAAAGATATCCGGTTCCTCCGATAACTGGATGGCCCCCAGACGGCTGAGCAATTCATTCCAGGCTGCCAGACGAGGTCCTAGAAGATCCCTACGAAAAGAAATAACAGGGTTTTCCTGACCCAAAGCTTGTTTGATCGTGAAAAACTTATGTCTAATAATCCGGTACAAGCTTGGGTATTGCACACTAAGCGACCATTGTTAAATAGTTTGCTTCTATGGCTGGTATCTTTGTTAGAGTTATTTTTGAAGAGAGAGTATGAAATCAAATAGTGAACATAATCATGACAAAACCTTGTCTATATTTGATGAAGGTCGCTATATGTGGCTTACCAATCATCATGACCCAGCTTGTATACCTCTAAATATTCACATTTCTTTTGAGGGATCTAAATATTCACATTGATCAACTCAAAAAATATATTCACATTGATCAACTGAAAAAAAAAATTCACATTGATCAATAAAGTAGTGTTGGCAATCCTGAAAAAAAAAACCACTAAATTTTGTCTCCTGGCTGGCCTTGTCTCGTGCGCACCAGCACCACAGGGCAGCACCGC